CAGGGCTGGGGACAAACTGCAAGCAAGGTACGTGCCCTTAGCGGGAACCGACCCGGGTCTCTCCGGACCGCAGGCCGACGCTCTAACCGCTGAGCCAAACCGGCCAGGGCTATTGCATTTTTTAAAATTTTTATAATTTGAAGGTTTGTAGCAACTCTATATTGAGCAATTCTATTGGTGCCATTTTTCCAACAGGCTCAGATGATGGTTAGCGTTTTTTAGCAAAAAAGTATTTTTACATTAAGATATGCACATTGGCCCTGGCCGGTTTGGCTCAGCGGTTAGAGCGTCCGCCTGCAGTCCGAAGAGAACCGGGTTCGGTTCCCGCTAAGGGCATGTACCTCGGTTGCAGTTTGTCCCCAGCCCTGGTTGGTCGTGCGGGTGGCGGCCACTCGATGTGTCCCTTTCACATCGATGTTTCCCTCTCTCTCTCTTCCTCTCTCTCCCTCCCACTCTATCTGTACAAAAAATGGAAAAATGTCCTCGGGTGAGGATAAAAAAAAAAAAAAAAGATATGCACATTGTTCGTTAAGGCGTAATGTATTGCACACTTAATAGACTGAAGTATAGTAGTAACATAATCTTTAAATGCATTGGGAAACCAAAAAAACCATGTGATTTGCTTTATTGCAACGTTTGCTTTATTGTAGTGGTTTGGACCGAACATGCAATATCTTTGAGGTATGCCTGTATTTGAAAAATAGTGGCACATGTATGAGACATTTAGTCTACAGACAGACAGTATAACATAGTGGTTAAGAGTGCACTCTGGAGGCAGAACCTAGTTTGAATCTGTCTCTTGCTAACTGTAACGTCAGACAGTATACCACCTGTGCCTCGGTTTTCTCATCTGTAAAATGTGAATAATTATTATACCTACCTTATAGATCTGTCATATAGATTATAAATTAGTTAATATATGTAAAAAGCCTGGAAGAGTACCTAGTACATTATAAGCACTATTGAAAGTGTTTGCTATTATGATGATGCTGTGCTGTCTTGAATAAAATGAAATAATCCAGAAATTTTCCAAGTTTTTCTTCTGTTCTTGGATATTCTGATAAATAATTATTGGGACCTTTGAATAGTATGTTATTAAAATTATTTTAAAAATTTGCATTTATAACTTTTCTTCACCATCTTTGAGATCTCGGCCCACCTCTTGCCAATGTGTCTTAGAGTTATCAATCTCCTCTTCTTTCTTCTATGGTTCCTGGAGAGAACTAAGTCTTAATTCCCTATGGAATCATTTATATATAACGAATTAACCTCTCTCATGTACATCCACAGAGATACTAGTAATGTACCATTCTGTGGTTCAGATGAGGAATGCAATTGTCAGAGGATATCAGTCTATTTTCGCTACTATGTTTCATGGTGGTAATGATGACAATGGCTGCTTTCATCTATCTCCCTTGTATTTTTTTAATTGACTTTAGTTTTTAGAAAAATTTTAGATTCACAGCAAATTAAGCAGAAGATAACAGAGATTTCCCATTGTATTTTTATTTTATTTTTTAAATCTTCACCCGAGGACATTTTTTCATCTTTTGTTCAGATAGAGTGGGAGGGAGAGAGAGGAAGAGAGAGAGAGAGAGAAACATCGACGTGAAAGGGACACATCGAATGGCTGCCACCCGCATGACCAACCAGGGCCAGGGACAAACTGCAACCAAGGTACGTGCCCTTAGCGGGAACTGAACCTGGGTCTCTCTGGACCGCAGGTCGATGCTCTAACCACTGAGCCAAACTGGCCAGGGCCCCATTGTATTTTTAAAAAAATCTCTGTAGTTTTTATCATTAAACATAAGGCCTGGAACATAGATAAATGGATAAGTATAGCATTTCCAAAATCATTTGTTTGTGTGTGTGTTTTGAGAAATCCTTTCCTACACTGAGATCTGTATTTACTTTTATACATTTTAAAGTTTGTCTTTCACATTTTGGTCTAAATGTGTACCTGGAATTTATTTTCTGATTGGTATCAATTAGAGACATAGTTTAATTTTTTTTGGGGGGGGGGAGCACATGGATATTTCAGCATCATTTACTGAATAGTTCTCGTTTCTTCCAATCAATTTAAATGTCATGCCTTGGCATCATTTTTTTTTCTGTATATGCCTATAGTCATGTCTAAATTTTTTTTTTCCTTTTAGTCTATTTGACTATCCCTGAATCAATGCCAAGCTGTCTTTATTATTTTAGCTTTCCAATAATTCATAATATCTGGTAGGGTAAGTTCTTTTACATTTTATAATGCTGCCTTTTTTTTTTTTTTTCATTGTTCTTCCAGATAGGTTTTTATTTTTATTTCTGTTAATCCTCACCCTAGCATATTTTTACATTGATTTTTAGATAGAGTAGAGGAAGGAAGGGAGGAAGGGAGGGAGGGAGGAAGGGAGGAAGGGAGGGAGGGAGGGAGGGAGAAACCTGCAACCCAGGTGCGTGCCTTTGACCAGTAGTTGAACCCATGACCCTTCTGTCTATGGTCCAACACACTAACCTCTGAGCCAAACTGGCCAGGGCCGTAATATGTTTTGTCAGGTTCCTTGAAAAACCTTGTTAGAATTCTCATTAGAATGTATAGATTAATTAGGAGATAATTGACATCTTTGTGATGTCATTCATCATTCACTAAATATGTATGGAGTACCTCTTGTGTACTGGTAACTGGGAATGCAGCGGTGAACAAAACTCACAAATATCCCTGGACTTATGGAACTTACATTCTAGTGGAAGGATTAAAACCATAAACAAGCCCTGGCCGGTTTGGCTCAGCGGTTAGAGCGTCGACCTGCGGTCCTGAGAGACCCGGGTTCGGTTCCCGCTAAGGGCGCGTACTCGGTTGCAGTTTGTCCCCGGCCCTGGTCGGTCGTGCGGGTGGCAGCCACTCGATGTGTTCCTTTCACATCGATGTTTCTCTCTCTCTCTCTGTTCCTCTCTCTCCCTCCCACTCTACCTGAACAAAAAACAAAACAAAACAAAAAAAAACCCCATAAACAAGCCCTGGCCAGTTTGTCTCAGTGGTTAGAGCATCAGCCTGCAGACAGAAGAGTCGAGGGTTCAGTTCTATTCAAGGGCACGTACCTGGGTTGCAGGTTTCTCCCTCGTTCTCCCTCCCTCCCTCCCTTCCTTATATTCTATCTAAAAATCAATGTAAAAATATCTTAGGGTGAGGATTAACAACAACAACAAAAACATAAACAAAATAAATTCTATGCTTTATTGCTTATAAGAGCCAAAAACTGGAACAATCTAAATAAATGTCCATCAAATGTATATTCATACAAAGGAATATAATCCATAAAAGGGACAAACTACTTATACATGCAACAACACAGATGAATCTCAGAAATATTATACTAGGTGTAAGGAGCCACATATAGTACATATTATGTGATTTTATTTTTTGTGAAGTTTCTACAAAGGCAAAACTTGAACAATAGAAAGCAGGTCATTAATTGCCTAGGGCTAGAAATGAGAATAAGGGTTGACTGAAAAAGAGTATGAAGGAACTTTTTAGGTGATGTAAGTGTTCTAAAATTGGAATATGGTGATGTTTGCACAACTATATAGATTCATTAACACTTACAAATTGTATACTTAAAGCAGGCAAGTTTTATGGTATGTAAATTATACCTTAATAAAGTTTAAAAAAATAATTATTTGCGCCAATACAGGTGAACCTTGAAAACATGCTAAGCAAAAAAGAAGCCAGTAACAAAAAAGCACATGTTGTATGATTCCATTTTTTTGGAGTGATCAGGATTTGCTATATATGGGTTTTTTTTGGGGGGGGGGGGGTGATGAAAATGTTCTGAAATTGTTGTGATGGTGATGATTGCACATCTCTGTATATATACTAAACACCATTGAATTGTACACTTTAAGTGGATGAATTGTATGGCATGTGAGTTATCTCAATAAAGCTCTTGCAGAAAGTAAATAATATTATATACTATATATGAAGGAGAGGAGGGGAGGGATGTGGTAGTGGTGGTGCTGAGGAAGGCCTCACTGAGAAAGTAACAGTTGAGCAAAAACTTGAAAGAGACAAGAAATTGAGCATGTGGATACTTGGGGGAAGAACTTTCTAGGAAGAAGGGATAATCAGTGAAAGATCCTGAAAAGAAAACATATCTGGCATGTTTGAGAAGCATTTGAGGCCAGTATGGCTGAAATAGAGCAAGCAAGAAATAGAGCAGTATGAAATGAAGTTGGAAGGTAGGATCATGTAGGGCTATTGTAAGGACTGGTTTTTACCGTGAGGGAGATGGGGAGTCAGTGTAGAGTTTTGAGTAGAGGAGTGACATCATCTGACATACGTTTTTAACAATGGCTGCTGTACTGAAAATAAACTGACAGATTGGAGCTGAGATGTTAAAGGAGAAGAAGAGTCAGAGACGATGATGTATTTTTTAGTCAAAGGAAACTGAAAAGGGGGGAGATTGAGGATGAAGCTGAGGCAGATTTGGGGGTAGGGGAGGTCAGGACTTATGATTTTGACATATTAGTGAAAGTCCTCATACATCCAAGGACGGATTTGAGTAAGCAAATTGGATATCTGAATCTGGAATCTAGGGAAGAGGTCCTCAAGTAAAGATTGTATTTAAAGCTATGAGTCCTCCAATCCACCAACACAATACACTTCATAAGACAAGACTGGCCCAGCCGGTATGGCTCAGTGGTTGAACGATGACCCGTACACCAAGAGGTCGCTGGTTTGACTCCCAGCCAGGGCACATACCCAGGTTGTGGGTCCCATCCCTGGCTGTGGATACACCTGGCTGGGTACATGCAGGAGGCAGCCAATTGATGTTCTCTTTCACCAGTGTTTCTAACTCTCTCTTCCTCTCCCTTCCTCTCTCTCTAAAATCAGTAAAGGAAAAAAAAAAAAAGACAAGACTTTATTTTCCCTTAAGATAGGCTCTTAAAAATTGTTGACTTAATCTTCCCCTGCCTCCAAAGAGAATAAATATGTTCCTTTTCTTGTATTTCAGGATCTTCAAGATGAAGTTCAGAGAGAGAATACTAATCTGCAAAAACTACAGGCCCAGAAACAGCAAGTACAGGAACTCCTTGATGGACTGGATGAGCAGAAAGCCCAGCTGGAAGAACAACTCAAGGAAGTCAGAAAGAAATGCGCTGAGGAAGCCCAGCTGGTAAGTGCTGTTGTTAGGTGGCAATCTCTAATCAACACTGGACACATGAAGGAAATAGAACATGGTTCATTCAGAAATTACAGGCCTTCTTTAGGGAAAATAGGGCACTTAATGAACTTTTTTTCCGAATTTTATTTGGAAGTATGGTACCTGTGCCTATAACTATTTGTTTCCTAATTGCTCTTTTCTATCAAAAATTTACATTAAAAAATACCAAAATATTAAACTAAACAAATTAAAGTATTGTATTATGGAATGTTTTAATGGCATCTTTTTTTTTTAATCCCCCTTTCTTCTCATTCACCTCCATATAATAGATCTCATCCCTGAAAGCTGAATTAACTAGTCAAGAATCACAGATCTCTACATATGAAGAAGAGCTGGCAAAAGCTAGGGAAGAGCTGAGTCGCCTACAGCAAGAAACAGCAGAATTGGAGGAGAGTGTGGAGTCAGGGAAGGCCCAGCTGGGACCTCTTCAGCAGCACCTGCAAGATTCACAGCAGGAAATCAGTTCAGTAAGTCTTTTGCAGCAGCAAGAAATATGAGAAATACACTCAAGTGAGCATTACATATCCTTTTAGTAAATAATACTTTCTCGGCTTCTGCTCCTTCTCTCTGCCTAATTTATTATTCATTTTTCAGTCATTTCCTACAAGCAGGTTTCTTGTCATATGTCACAAACTATCACTTATTTTGTGTGTGTGATAATAATTTGTGTATGGTTAAGATGATTTAGGTTAAACTGCTGGCTCTGCCACTTACTATCTGAATCACTTTAGCATCAGGTTCCTCATCTTTAGCGGGAACTGAACCCGGGTCTCTCTGTACCACAGGCCGACGCTCCAACTGCTGAGCCAAACCAGCCAGGGCAGGTTCCTCATCTTTAAAATTGGAGAATTAACAATACCTCAACCTCCCAGGGCTGCTGTGAGGATTAAATGAAGCAAAACCTGTGAGACATTTTAGCATAGTGTTTGATACATAAATGCTAAATAAGTGTGCTTATTTTTATAAATAATAACCCAGAATCTTTCTTTTTGTGATTCTGATTTTGAAATCAGCTTTGCTTATTTGGAAACCATTAATTTTTTAATTAGAAAATTGTTTTTTTGCTTGTTTGTTTTTAAATTCTCACCCGAGCCCTGGCCAGTTTGGCTCACCAGTTGGAGCATCACCTTGTGGACCAGAGAATCCTGGATTCAGTTCCCATTAGGCCCTAGCAGCTAGGGGCATGTAGCAAAAATGAAATGAAATGAAAAGAGAAATGAATCCTCACCCAAGGATATTTTTCTATTTATTTTCAGATATAGTGGGATGGAGGGGGAGAGAGAAACATCGTTGTGAGAGAGACACATCAACTGGTTGCCTCCTACATGACCCCGACCAGAGCCGGGGACGAACTGCAACCACACTGGAATTGATCCCACGACTCTTTGGTCTGCGGGCTATTGTTCCAACCACTGATCCAAACCAGCCAGAGCAGAACATTGTTTTTTTTTATCCTCACCCGAGGACATTTTTGCATTTTTTGTTCAGACAGAGCGGGAGGGAGAGAGAGAAAGAGAGAGAGAGAGAAACATCGATGTGAAGGGACACATCGAGTGGCTGCCACCCACACGACCAACCAGGGCCGGAGACAAACTGCAACCGAGGTACGTGCCCTTATTGGGAACCGAACCCGGGTCTCTCTGTACCGCAGGCCGATGCTCTAACCACTGAGCCAAACCGGCTAGGGCAGAACATTGTTTTTTATATAGATAAATGTACATTGTTGTGGTGTGTCCAGCATATAGATCCTTTGCTTTGTTATTTCTGGGCCTTCCTAAATGGAGAATATTTTATTGAATGATAGTAGGATGGTTAGATAGAGATCATGTAGCTGTTAACTTAAAAATAAAAGGACCTTTCAAAGTGAGAAGCAAAAACATTTTTTTGAGATTGGTAAGAATAGCTATTTGGAACATGGTGATTTAGGCAGAAGCCTACATAGTGTTCTTATTAGGAGACAAATGGGTATTTATGAGAAGCAGAGGGGGAATAATTACATCAATAGAAGGAAGGCATTTCTATTGGTGCAAATAACATTAACATAGTGATGCTAATTTTAAACATTTTTTTTTATTGTTGACACTATTACATATGACCTCCATTTTCCCTGCCTTTACTCACCTCCACCCAGCCCCCACCACGCCCTCCCCTTAAACATTGTTTTTAATTTTCAGTCCAATAGCCATCGGTCCAGTAGTCATAATAATTACTTTCTTGTTATCTTTGCAGACAGTTCTTTGGGACACACACCACCTAGGCCCAGTCCAAAGGTTATTTTGCCCTGTTTAACATTCCAGAGGTTTGAGGCATAAGATGTGCAAAGCAGTACCTCTGGCATGACAGCTATGGCTCAATTTAAAGTGGCTCTATTTTTTTTTGGCCATAACCCATTCCTTTTATTTTGAATTTGAACAGACTGAATTGTTTTTTTGTTCTCCATGTCATTTATTTCTGCTCTGATTTTTACTATTGCCTTCCTTCTACTTGTTCTGGGGTTTTCTTTTTGTTTGCTTTCTAGTTCTTTAAGTTGTGAGGTTAGATAGTCTATTCGAGATTTTTCTTGCTTCTTGAGGTAGGCCTGTAGTGCTATGAACTTCCCTCTCAGAACTGCATTCGCTGCATCCCATACATTTTGTGTTGTGTGTTCATTTTCATTGGTCTCCAGGAAGTTTTTAATTTCTTCCTTGATCTCCATGGTAACCCATTCATTCTTCAATAACATGCTATTTAGCCTTCATGTGTTCAAATGTCTTTGCATATTCTTGTTGCAATTGATTTCTAGTTTCATGCCATTGTGATCCGAGAAGATGCTTGATATGATTTCAATCTTCTTGAACTTGTAGAGACTTAGTTTGTGCCCTAACATGTGGTCTATCTTTGAGAATGTCCCATGTGTACTTGAGAAGAATGTGAATTCTGCAGTTTGGGATTGTAATTCTTTGTAGAAATCTCTTAAATCTATTTGATCTAGCACTTCATTTAGAATCTGTGTTTTCTAGTTATTTCTTGTCTAGAAGATCTATCCAGTGATGTCAGCAGTTGTTGAAGTCCCCTGCTATGATTGTATTGCTGTCGATTTCTCCTTGGAAGTCCTCCAGAAGATTTTAAATATATGTTGGTGCTCCTATATTGGGTGCATATATGTTTACCAAGGTTTTATATTCCTGTTGGATAGATCCTTTCAATAGTATGTAGTGGCCTTCTTTGTCTCTAGTTATGGCCTTCATTTTGAAATCTAATTTATCTGATATTAGTATTGCTACCCCAGCTTCTTTTTCCTTTCAATTTTCTTGAAAGATTTTTTTCCATCCCTTCACTTTCAACCTATGTGAGTCTTTTGTTGGGAGGTGGGTCTCTTGTAAACAACATATATGTGAGTCATGCTTTCTTATCCAGTCAGCTACTCTGTGTCTGTTTATCAGAGCATTCAAACCATTTACATTTAAGGTGATTATTGATATGTACTTATTTATTGCCATTTTTGTTTAGTGTGGTTATATTTTTCTTCCTATTTTACTAATTACAGTAGTCCTTTAACATATCTTGCAGTGCTGGTTTGGTGCTAATATATTCCCTTAGCCTTTTTTTGTCTGGGAAGCTCTTTATTGACCTATTTTGAATGATAGCCTTGGTGGATAGAGTAGTCTTGGATTCAGATCCATGTTTTTCATGACCTTGATTACTTCATGCCATTCCCTTCTGGCCTTAGTGTTTCTGTTGAGAAGTCAGATGATTTCCTTATGGGGGTTCCTTTGTAGGTAACCTGTTGCTTATCTCTTGCTGCCTTTAGGATTCTCTCTTTGTCTTTAATTTTTGGTGTTTTAATTACTATGTGTCTTGGTGTGGGCCTGTTTGGGTTCTTCTTACTTGGGGCTCTCTGTGCTTCTTGAACTTGAATGCTTTCTTCCTTCAGCAAGTTAGGAAAGTTTTCTGTCACTATTTCTTCAAATATATTCTTTAACCCATACCCATTTTCTTCTTCTTTGGGGACTCCTATGATGCAAATGTTATTTCGTTTTCAGTTGTCCCACAGTTCCCTTAAACTATCTTCCTGTTTTTTAATTGTTTTTTCCTTTTGGTTTTCTGATTGATTGTTTTTTTTTTTCTACCCTGTCTTCTAATTCACTGATCCGGTCCTCAGCTTCCTCTACTCTGCTGTTTAGTACTTCCAAAGTGTTCTTTATTTCTGCTATGTCATTCTTCATTTCCACTTGGTTGGTTTTCAGTGTTTCTGTATCTTTACTCATGGTGTTGATGTCCTTACTCATGCTGTTGAGCTTGCTCAAGATCATGGCTCTGAAGTCTACCTCTGATAATTTGCTTAACTGCATTTCATTGATCTCATCTTCAATAGAGTTCTCTTGTTCTTTCATTTGGGATTTGTTTCTTTGTTTCACCATTTTGACTATCAGTGGGTTTTGGAGCCTACCAAATTTTTCCTGTGGGTGTTGGTATTCTGCTGTTTGTGGCTCCCTCTACTGAGTTTGGATGAGCCTGGGTGGGCCCATGGTAAACACCACTGTCAGGTCTTACTTTCCTGGGTAGATTTGCAAGCCCTGGAAAGGTTCAATTATCCTGTAGCTTTTGCCCTGGAGGCTAGTAGTCTGTTACTCAGGGCCTTGGAATGTAGCCCTGGTGTGATGCATTAACAGGATTTCCAGAGGGTGGGACAGATGCTGGTTATTAATGAGCCTCAGTTTGCATTTCTTTGCCTCACCTGTAAGGGGCTGATTCTCCGAGGGAGGGGCTGCTGCTTTTCCCCACAGCTCTGGGAAGGAGTAAGCTGGCCACCGTCCCTTGTGGCCAGGACTCAGCAAAAACTCTGAGTGCCCTCCAAATCCTGGGTGTCCCCACAGAGTTCCAGTCCAGTCTGCCCTCCCTCTGCTGGAGCCCCAGGTGAGTGGCTGTAGCCAATCCAGTGCTCTGTTCCAGCCCTCTGTGCTGTGGAGCAATCTTAGTATTTTATCCCCAAGGGCATTACTCACAGCTAAGACCACTGGTGTTCGTGGGCTCCCAGCCCACCACCCTCTCGCACCTTTGCAGATCCTACCAGTGTCCCTGGTTATATAGTCCTGTCCCACTGCTTTTCTGTTGCTTTTTTCCAATGATTTGTCTTTATTTTAGTTTTAATTCCCGTTTCATCCTGGGAGATTGTCTGTGTAGCTTTCATTGACGCCACTGCCATTTTCGCATCCCTCGTCTTGTTATTTAAATTACAGGTTTTTAAAATATATATTCTGGACATAAGTTCTTTATCAAATACTTGATTTACAAATAATTTCTCTTTATCTGTGGTCTTGTCTTTTTGCTTTCTTTGACTTTTGAAAGAGGACTTCTTTCAAAGGAAGGAGCATAAATAAGAAAAGAAGAAAGGACTTGGTATTATCATTCAGAAAATAAAATTGTTTGTGAGCAAGACAAATAACCTTAGTATACTGTACTGCCAAGTATGCCAGAATATATTTGGTATCTGTGGAAGGAATTAGATCCTTGCATCTGAGCACCAAACCTTAAGAATAAACACATTGGGCACGTATGGTAAAACATTTCATACTGTATTCTGAGACAAGTTGTTTTTGCAATTAAATGTATTTTATTAAGAAAGTCATAAATAACATTTTAAATTGAAATTTTCAAAAATAAAAAAGAATAAACACACCTAATTGTGTCTTTCCCACAGAAGACAGTATATATTCCCATGGATCTGTAAAAAATGAAAATCTGGTTGTAAACTAGCCTGAGACTTTCATTGCTCTCTGAAACTTAAAATACAGCTTTTCTGAACAAAGAAATAACTGAAGAAAGTTTTTCTAACTCGCTGAATTTTTATTTTTACTCTCTACCTAGTATTTGCACCAAGAAAAAAGCAAAGAACCTCTGACTTTAAATATATTCTATTTTTATCCAAGTATTTTGAAGGTGTTCTAATAGTTTATTGCACTTTTCTTGCACAGTTTATAAAGAGCTTGTGTTACATGACTTTTTTTTTTTTTTAATATTCCTTAAGTTTACTTAGAGACTAAGGAAGAACACAGGCTTAGTGACAGTTGCATGAAAGAACCAGACACAAGAATGCCTTGTTCTGTTCAAGATTCTACTGTTTGTCTCAGAAATAACCACGAGTAACAAATTGTCCTAAACAGAATTGCTTAATAGGCTAGAGTTTTTACTTACAACTTCATCTGTATGGTGGGTATTATTTTAGTGTAAATGGTACAGCCACTTTGGAAAACAGTTTGTCAATTTAAATTTTTAATGGCAAGGTTATAGTTAGTATTGAAATTGATTCAATGGTCATGATAAACAAAAGTTTTGTGTGTGTTTTTTGTTTATTTCTTTTTAAAATTAGTTTTTCTTTATTGATTTTAGAGAAGAAGGGAGAGGGAGAGAGAAAGAGAAATGTTTATGAGAGAGGACATAGATTGGCTGCCTCCTCCATGACCCCCACTGGGGATTTGGCCCACAATCTGGGCACGTGTCCTGATCAGGAATTGAACTGGTGACTTCTTGGTGCATGGGTCGAAGCTCAACCACTGAGCCACACCAGCCAGGCAAAAAATGTTTTTAAATGAAATAGAGAATAGGAAACACCAGGGTACATTACATGTAGTAAGGATAAGTATTATTTCATGAAACTTGTTTTACCACTATATGTGCATATGTGTGTGTGTAAAATCATATATAAACTACATATGATTATGTGTCTGTATTATATATGTGTGTTTATATTTATGTATACATATACATATATATTTGGAGACTTCCAAATATATACACATATATATTTAATGAGTTAGGATATAAAATCTATTTCTTAATATAGATTAAAGTAAAAAAAAAAAAAAAAGTTTATAAGCCACTGCTCTATAGCACTAGGAATATACAAGGCACATATATGCCGTGTGTTACAAATGTATAGTACCCAATTTGGTAGATATATATGCTTCCTGATGCCCACTGTTTAAATTTATAAGCACAATACTTGGGTTCATTAAGTGAACATATATTAAGCATTGTGCTAGATGTTGGCAATACAAAGTTGATACCAGAAGTTGCGGTCTCTACCCTCAAAGAGCTCAAAATCTTTAACTTTTTAGATGAAATTGGGCATGTTCAGGGTGGTATGGCCATAGACTAGATCTTTAACTTTTTTAAAATGGGTGAATTAGCCCTGGCCTGTTTGACTCAGTGGTTAAAGCGTTGGCCCATGGACTGAAAGGTCTTGGGATCGATTCTCAGACAAGAGTGGCACATACCTGGGTTGCAGGATTGATCCCCAGCACTGATTGGGGTTGTTTGTGAGGCAACCAGTCAGTGTGTCTCTCTCACATCAATGTCTCTCTCTCTCTCTTTCCCTCCCACTCTTCTTTCCTCTCTCCCCCCCTTCCACTCTATCAGAAGATAAATGGAAAAATATCCTTGGGTGAGGATTAAAAAAAAAATCCTTAGGTGAGGATTTTTGAAAAAGGGGGGGTGGTGAATTAGTGGAAAAGTAACAGAGGAAAAAAGTGCTATAGGAGTGGGAAATGCAGTGTGCTAGGGATTTTCACACACATTGTCCATCATTTACATAGTCCTTTACATTTGACAGAGTTCTTGCAAATATATCTTTTGTTTCATATAATAGGTGATTATTACTCCCTTTTAGATTTGACTTGGAATAGACTTGGAGAGGTTACTCTGACCAAAATCATCTAACTAGAAGGTGACAGAGTTAGATTTACATCTGTCTCCCAATCCAAAATAGTGTTCTTTCCCCAGTTATGACCCTGAAAGATCTGTGGTAAATTACAGCTTTCAAATTGAGCAGCTTAAAAACCTTATGGGGAAAATAAGGCTAAGTGAAAAGAGAGCCTTGATTTATGATATGTCAATAGGTCATTTTTACATTTGCTAAAAGCAAAAGGTATAGCATGGTAATAAATAAAGGGAATCCTAATGTCATTTAAAATATATATACTTTATGAAAAATTAGCATATTCCTTTTCACTAAGAAACATTTTTTGATTCTACCTTCTCAGTTTCTTTAAGCTATTTGTAAATTTGTTTTTCTTTACGGATGTTAGTATAAATAAGCTTTTTAAAAAAGTTTTTCTTTTCTTTATTGATTTTAGAGAGAAAGGAATGGAGAGGGAGAGCGATAGAAATATCGATGAGAAAGAACATCCATTGCCCCCCCCCCCCCCCCCCCCCCCCCCCCCGGGATTTGGCCTACAACCTGGGCATGTGCCCTGACAGGGAATCGAACTGGCGACACCTTGGTGCATAGGTCGATGTCAACCGCTGAGCCACACCAGCCGGATATAAATAAGCTGTTTTTCTTGCCACTTGGCCTCAACTTATTTGTGTGTGTGTGTGTGTGTGTGTGTGTGTGTGTGTGAAAATTTTTTGACTTCTACCCTCTGTGTTTCACAATTGTCCTAAGAGTATAAAGTCACTTGGATATTGGGATCAAAAAAGTTTGAGTGGCCCTGGCTGGTTTGGCTCAATGGTTAAAGTGTAGGCCCACAGACCGAAGAGTCATGGGTTCGATTCCGGTCAAGGGCACATACCTCGGTTGCAGTTCGGTCCCCGGCAGGGGTTGTGTGGGAGGCAACCAGTCGATGTGTCTTTCTCACATTGATGTTTCTCTCCTTCTCTCTCTCTCTCTGCCCCCCCCCTTCCTCCCTTCCTCCCTCCCTTTTCCCCTCTCTTTCCCTCTCACTCTATCTGAAAATAAATGGAAAAATATCCTCGGGTAAGGATTAAAAAACCCACAAAACTTTGAATGCCTTTTATTTAGCATGTTTGGCATAGCTTAGATTTAGAGGCTACTTCCTAGAACTCTAACCCATTAGTAAGAATTTCCAGAGCTCATTTTATCTTTGTCTATATTCTTCTCCTTCCCAGTGAGAGTATTGATGGCTCCAAAGCCTTGAGGTACTCTCCTTCAACTTCTTTTGTCTCTTCTAAAGCTTCACCACAAATGTTTTCTTGTTCTGTCACTTTGCTCTTTTTTCCCCAAAACCCTGACCCTTCTTTTTCTAATTATACCCTAAAGGACTACCAGTATACAGATAGTTGAATCAGAGTTCTTTGAGCTTTCCAAAGGTGTACAAAAGCAAATCCATATGTACTGGAATTTCAAGAGGAGAACTTACTAGGATGGATTACTGAAATCTCTAAGCCATGCTTCATTCTCAGCATAGTCTCCTTATGGAAGCAAATTTATCTTTAACCAAGTGTAGGGGTATAGTCATTTTTACTTTGCATGTCTTTCTGGTAATAAATTTTGTTTTGTACTTCTACTTTGTGTTGACAGATGCAAGTGAAACTGATGGAAATGAAAGAGTTGGAAAACCATAATAATCAATTAAATTGGTGCAGTAGCCCACACAGCATTCTTGTAAACGGTGCTATAGATTATTGCAGCCTCAGCACCAGCAGCAGTGAAACAGCCAACCTGAATGAGCATGCTGAAGTCCAGAGCAACCTAGAGTCTGAGCCCATACACCAGGAGTCTCCAGTGAGTTTAATAGCTCCGTAACCTTCATAATTAACTTCAGGAAAAAAATTGATTCATATCAAAGTTTTGTTGACATCATACCTGATCTAAATATGTGGCCTTGCTTTATCTGAGGACAATTGAGATTTTCTTTTTTGAGAGGCAGAGTGGGTACTAATTCAGCAGTTTTAAGAATTTTAACAATTTTTACATTCCTGGTTCGAATGCAGACTGGTGCAGTCACTATGGAAAACAATATGGTGTTACCTCAAAAAATTAAAAATTGAACTTCCATTTGATCCAGTGATCCCACTTCTAGGACTATACCCTAAGAAGCCTGAAACACCAATCAGAAAGAATATATGTACCCCCATGTTCACATGTTCATAGCAGCATTATTTACAATACCTAAGATCTGGAAACAGCCCAAGTGTCCATCAGTAGATGAATGGATAAAAAAGCTGTGGTACATACACACAATGGAGTACTATGCAGCTGTAAGAAAGAAAGATCTCTTATCCTTTGAGATGACATGGAGGGACCTGGAAAGTATTATCCTAAGTGAAACAAGCCAAGCAGAAAAAGACAAATACCACATGATCTCACTTATTTGTGGAATATAATGAACATAACAGTCTGAGGAATAGGAAAGACCCAGAAACATGGAAGTAGGGTACAGACTGACAACCCTCAGAAGAGGAGGGGTAGGGAAGAGATAAACTACAGAACTTATATGCATGGATGAGTACCCAGTGGACATAACAACAAAGCTGGGGACAGGGTGGGGTGGGGGGTTGGGAGGAGGGTGTCAATGGGGTAAAAAAGGAGAAACATCTGTAACAAAAATAAAATTAAAAAAAAAGAATTTTAACAATTTTAAAATGTGATTTAACTGATCTACTTGTTAAATAGCATATTTTCAAAACAGTAGTTCTAGCCCTGGCCAGTTTTGCTCAGTGGTTAGAGCGTTGGCCATGGACCAGAAAGTCCCGGGTTTAGTTGCTCTAAGAGCATGTAATGTACCTCAGTTGTGGTTCATCCCTGGCCCCAGTTGGGGTCATGCGGGTGGCAACCAGTCTATGTGTCTCTCTCACATTGATGTTTCTCTCCCTCCCACTCTATCGGAAAATGGATGCAAAAATGTCCTCAGGTGAGGATAAAAATAAACAGTAGTTCTTTAGATAATAACTTTCAAAAACCATTTTTTAAATACTCTCACCCAAAGTTGAAAGTAATTCTTTCTTTCCTAATGTTGAGGACATTTATTTACATTATTTAGAGAGAACCAACTATGTGCCAAGAGTGCTGCTGTGTTATGTGTGAGACTTATAGAGACAAAAGACAAAAGAACTCTGCCTTTAAGCAGCATACAGTCTAGTAGTGTAACACTGTGTGAAAGGGCTGTGACAAAGGAAGCATGGGATATTCTGCTTCAAGAGGGCTCAGAGAAGATGTAGAGAAAACTTCACAAATGAACTTCAAAGTGAGAAAGGGGTAAGCAGAGGAGAAGGTGGTACTTTCTCGGCAGAGTAAACAGCATTAGCATCAGTATGAAATGGCAGAAAACATGCTGCACAGGGTCCTGGGAAGTTTTCAGAGGTTATCTTGTGACAGTGGGTAGAGTATAGGTAGGAGATGTGGCTCTCTCCTAGTAGGCACCTGTATCACCTCTGGTACTTTGTCAAAATATAGATGCCTGAGCCCCACTCCAAACTTGTTGAGCTAGAGTTTCTGGGATAGAGCCAGATACATATATTTTAAAAACAAATTCCCTGGCTGATTGTGATGTGTCACTGGATAAAAATAACCACTTTTTGGTCAGAAAGGGCCGAAGAGTAAGAAATTTGGATTTATCTTGAAGCGTTAGGGAATTTATCATACTACAGTGAGTAGACATTTAAGCATTTTAAGCAAGAAGTGACAGGATTCGATTTGCCTTTTAGAAAATGTGGAAAATGGATTGGAGAGTGGAACTGGACACATATTAAGAAGACTGTTGAATGGTCTATGTGAGAGTTGTTTTAGCCTAAACTTAAGCTGTAAGAGATGTAAAATTAACAGACTTGATTTTATTTAGACAGTACAGTGTTGGACACATTATAGAATTTTTTTTTAAGCACGAAAGGTAAAATTACTACATTATTCTTCAGAGACATAAGGTGATCTTTTATTTTTTCTTTATTGATTTTAGAGAGAGGAAGGGAGAGGTAGAGAGAGATAGAAACATCGATGAGAGAAGACATCGATTGGCCACCTTCTGCATGCCCCCACTAGGGATTAGGACCACAACTTGGGCATGTGTCCTGACCGGGAATCAAACCAGTGATCTCTGCATGGATTGACGCTCAACCACTGAGCCACACCATCCAGACCATAAGGTGGTCCTAAATGGAGATTGTCCCTGCCACTTCTTAAACCTTATTATCTACTGTTATAAATCCGGAAAGCAATGGGAAGCCATTGAAGGACATTTAGCCTGAAGGGTTAAGATTAGATTTATTTATTTATTTTTAATTAATTAATCTATATTTGTTACAGATGTTTCTCCTTTTCCCCCCACTGATTCCCCCCTTCCCCTCCCTCCCCGCCCTGTCCCCAGCTTTGTTGTCCATGTCCATTGTTCATGCATACATGCATATAAATTCTGTGGTTTATCTCTCCCCTCCCCACTCCCTCTCCTGGGGATTGTCAATCTGTACCCTACTTCCACGTCTCTGGGACTACCCCATTCCTCAGACTGTTATGTTCATTATATTCCACAAATAAGTGAGATCATATGATACTTTTCTTTCTCTGTTTGGCTTGTTTCGCACAGGATAATACTTTCCAGGTCCCTCCATGTTGTCTCAAAGGATAAGAGATCTTTCTTTCTTACAGCTGCATAGTACTCCATTGTGTATATGTACCACAGCTTTGTTATCCATTCATCTACTGATGGACATTTGAGCTGTTTCCGGATCTTAGCTATTGTAAATAGTGCTGCTACAAACATGGGGGTACACAAATTCTTTCTTATTGGTGTTTCAGGCTTTTCTGGGTATATTCCTAAAAGATTAGATTTATATTTTTGATCTATTACTATGATTATTTTAAGGAGGATAGATAGGAAGGGCACATATTGGAGGCACAAAAGCAGTTGGAAGGCTACTATAGTAATTTGGACCAGAAATGATATATATGGATGATAGTGATAGTGAGGATGGAAAAGAAAGGAAGAATTTGAGAAAGAGATAGGAGGTAGATTCACTAAGACATGGAGTATAACTGAGGGATTACCAAAGGGAATTGGTTAAGGAAGACCTGAGTGACTTTAATGGTTGGTGATACCATTTTCCCAAGAAAGATTATAGAAATTACTCATTGAATATGTTCTGCTTGTTTTTTTATTTCTAGTAATTTTTGGTTATTCTTTGTCAGTTTCCTCTGCCAAGTAGAAAATTAATTGTTAGTCCATGTGGCATTAATATTTTGTAGGCAAGAAGTAGCCCTGAAATACTGCCTTCTGGTGTGACTGATGAAAACGAAGTGGTTACTACAGCTGTTAGTGAAAAAGTTTGTCCTGAATTTAATAGTGACAGCCATTCAAAAGAGGTAAAAATAATTTTATATATTAATGCTCTTAGTGTTTGTTTTCCAAGAAGGGTTATATACTATTTTATGCTAAGGAAAGAGAAAAATGTGTTAAATGAACTTTATGCCACAGAAATATTTGTTAATATTACCATCAGTTGATTTTTCAAGTATGTTATTTTATTTTAAAATGTTACTCTTTTTTTCTTATTTAAAATTATTTTTAGGAAGACCCATTTACTGTAGAATCAAGTTCACTGACAGATCCAGTTGCAGATACAAACTTGGATTTTTTCCAGTCTGATCCTTTTGTTGGCAGTAAGTACTCTAATTTTTATATTATAGATTTACTTTAAAAAAGGCTTTTAAATAGATAAATTATATAAGGATTAGGGCTTCAATTTTGAGAGCCTACTTCTTATAACAAAAATTGAGTGGAGAGTAAGGTTTTATATGCTCAGATTTTAGTATTTGTCCTCTAGGCAACTAAATCCTAGGACTAATCCTTTGATTATGTTTTAGGAACCCTGAATAAGATTATATTTCTTCTTCAGAATAGGGATCAAAAGGAGAGGAGATTGAACACTCCTAAGTTAATCAGCAGCCATTTACTAGAAGTGCCAACACTGTGCTTTTAAAACAATGGAGGCTATGTTGGTTAGTAGCTTGAACCCTGACTTTAAGGTTCTTACAGTCTTATTGAAAAAAAACCTAAGTTTAGTAAATTAAAATATCTAATGTCACTCTAAATTATGCTAAATACTACTTGTATTAAAGCTATTTTTGCATTTTATTTATTTCTAAACTCACCTTGTGAAACTGATAGATCAATTTATATCAGTTTTAAAGATGGGAAACTGAGGCACATAGACTAACTGGCTTGATGTCATGACAGTAATGAACCTAGATATTAGAACTCTTTAAAAAAAAATCTTACTGAAATATATAAAGTGTTAAAAGATACATAAATTGAACCTTTAAAGTATACAGTTAAATGTTTTTAGTATTTTCACAGTTGTATAATCATTACCAAAATCTAATTTTGAAACATTTTTTATCACCTAATAAAACAGTTTCGTACCCATTAGAAGTCACTTCCCATTCCCCTAACACCCAGCTTTAGGTAACTACTAATCTACTTTCTGTCTCTAGATTTGCAAATTTATGTAATTATACAGTATGTGTTCTATGTCAGGCTTCTTTCACTTAGCATAATATTTTCAAGGTTCACTCATATTGTAGTGTGAAGTGGTATCTCATGTGGGTTTGTTGTTCATTTTCCTAATGATTAGTGTTTTTGAGCATCTTTCTGTGAGCCTCAGTGACTATTCGTATATCTTCTTTGGAGAAATGTTTATTCAAATCACTTGCCCATTTTTAATTGGGTTGTTTGCCTTGTTATTGTTGACTTGCAAGAGTTCTTTACATATTCTGAATACAAGTCCTGAATCATATATATGATTTTCAAATATTTTCTTGTATTCTGTGTTGTCTTAATTTTGATGAAGTCCAATTTATTCATTTTTTTCTTTTGTCACTTATGCTTTTGATGTCATATCTAAGATCCAAAGTCATAAAGATTGACTCTTATATTTTCTTCTAAGAATTTTATAGTTTTAGCTGTTACATTTAGGTCTTTGATCCATTTTCAGTTAATTTTGGTATATGGTACGAGATAGGGGTCCAACTTCATTCTTTGGTATGTGGATATCCAGTTGTCCTAGCACCATTTGTTGAAATGATTATCCTTTCTTTATTTAATTGTCTTGGCACTCTTGTCAAAACGCAGATGACCATAAATGTAAGGGTTTATTTCTGAACTTGATTCTATAAGAATTTTTTTACTTCAGTGAAGCTCAATGTCTGTTCTGAAGTGGTGATGGTAATACCCATTCCATACTGTTGTGAAGAGTACAGATTTTGTTAGCAAAATTTTGACTGTCATGCCTGTCTTTTCTCATCCATCTGTAACTTCAACTTGTGATCAAGAGGTAAGTATAGTTGTCTGTGATTCAAATTTGCCTCTTTTATGAGGTATACTGATGTTCTACCTTTACTGTTTATTATTTAAAATATTTCCTAAAGGTGGATGGCATTCATTGTTTTATCTACTTTGAGGTGGAATTAGTGAAACAGATTTTGCTTTAAGAAACTGGTTTTGTTTTGAAGTTACCTTTAAGTAATGATGCCATAATAGTAAATAATATTTTGATTTCTGGTTATTTATTTTATAACAGGTGATCCTTTCAAGGATGATCCTTTTGGAAAAATTGGTTAGTATATTATTGAGTTTTATCTTAGCTTTAATTTGATTCTAATTAATTATAAGCTTATGCTGTATTTAGGAATGAGAGATCACAGTTGGGTAGTTATAGGAAATGGACTTAGCTTTTATTTAGTTTGGAAGCTAATCTAGGATCTCACTAAGATGTTGTATGTGCCTGGTATTTTTACTTAACTGTTAGCTTTACTTTGTAAAAAATGATACTAGTGTTTATACTTTGATGCTTTTAGTAAAATTTACACTGATTTCTCCTTATTAGTCAAGGATTAGGTGAATATAGTGAGTTACATTACTACAGGGTTTAGAACTTTTGTTTCCTAAAAGTACAGTCTATTCCAGTGAATGGAGGAATTAAAACATCTTAAAGAATTACTAAATGTTAGGCTTTTTAAGATATTCTTTTTCTGGGAGTTTTGCATTAGAATAAAGCAAATTTTTTGTACCATTTAGTTATGCTTTGCAGAACTGCTCCAAACTATTGGCTGTTATCCTTGAGAGAAATAATACATTTAGAGAGAAAGAAATACATTTAAAATTTTTGTTGTTTCTTTAGTTAATGATAGTATAGAATAAGGATCTTAAAATGGCATCTCTTGAAATTACATACTAATTTTAAAAAATAAGTTTATTAAGTAAAAGACTCTTATATTTTAACCTGACTGGGTGACTCAGTTGGAGCATTGACCCACATACCAAACGGTTGCAGGTTCAATTCCTGGTCAGGTCACATACCTTGGTTTCAGGTTTGATCCCCAACTGAGGCATGTAAGAGAGTCAACTGATCCATGTTTCTCTCTCACATCAATGTTTCTCTCTCTCTCTAAAATCAATAAACATATCCTTGGGTGAGGATGATAAAAAAAAGACTCTTGTCTTTTATCAAAACCATAACAGAATCTGTGGTTCCCCCTCCTCCAATCAGAATCACTCCCAGTTAGATCCAGCTTACAAGTATTATTTAAACCTAGCATACAGGAAACATTTGTATAGTAAGTATTGGAACTATTGGTGTCCTTTAGGTGAATGGTGAACAAGTAGGAAAGAATGTTACTTAAAACTGTATAACTAACTAGCCCTCACCAGTTTGGCTCAGTGGTTGGAGCGTTGGTCCGAGGACCAAAGAGTTGGGGGTTCGATTCAGTCAAGGGCATGTTCCTCGGTTGTGGTTCGGTCCCCGGCCCTGGTCAGGGTCATGTGTGAGGCAACCAATTGATGTGTCTCTCTCATCGATTTCTCTCTCTCTCTCTGAAAATCAATGGAAAAATATCCTCAGGAGAGGATTAAAAAAAAAAGCTGTGTAACTAGATGGAACTGTCTATACTTTCTTTTTAAGATCAATGATCATAATAGAAAGTACCGAATTTAGATTTTGTACAAATTCAAAATGTCTTTCTGTTTTTTTAATCCTCACCAAGAATATTTTTCCATTTATCTTCAGATAGAGTATGAGGGGTGGGGAGAAACAGTGATGTGAGAAAGACATATTGATTGGTTGCCTCTCTCACAACCCCAACCAGGGCTGGGGACCGAACCACAACCAACGTGCGTGCCCTTGACCAAAATCAAACCCACAACTCCTTGGTCCCACCATCTGCCACTCCAACCACTGAGCCAAACCGGTCAGGGCTCAAAATGTCTTTTTATTACTGTAATTGTCATGCCTTCAGGTGACAGGAAATTCAGTGTAATAGCTTTTTAGTCTCTCATATTTGTGCTGTATTTTCTTAGATCCATTTGGAGGTGATCCTTTCAAAGGTTCAGATCCATTTGCATCTGACTGTTTCTTCAAACAATCTTCTACTGATCCTTTTGCCACTTCTAGTACCGACCCTTTCAGTGCAGCCAGCAATAGCAGTAATACATCGGTAAGTGGGAGGATTAAAAACTGTTAAATGGGTAATACGTTTTGTGAATATACAGTGGTGAAAGAATCCTCTTTTAGGTTTCTTCTGATGTGCCATATAAAATTTTTAGTTTTCTTCAACCCATCTAGGTTTTGATTCAGAGCAATATTTTACAACCCGATTGCCCACTGGAATTAACTAGAATAACTTAATCATCCAAAATCAAGTCTACCCTTCAAATATTGTCCCATTGGAGATATTAAAAATATTGTTCCATTGGGGGTATTAAAAATAAATTATTAGAAATCCATATACCAGTCTTAAAGATTTTTCAGAAATGTTTGATACGCATTACTGAAATAATGAAAATCATTTTAAAGGAAACAACATTGATGTTTTAGAAAAATAAAATAATTTATGTTATAGACATATATACATATATGTCTGGAATGTTAATCTTGTAAAGAAGTACAAATTCCCACTAAATTTCGGACTCTTGAGAACATACATAGTGCAAAAATCACTATTTAATAACCACATACTATGATCAGATACTTCTGTGTGCTTTACATTTCTGATCTTTACCTCAAACTTGCAAAGTAGGCTTTGGTGTTTCTATTTTAACAATGAGAGCACAGGGTCTCAGAAAAATTAATTTAACACAACCAAGGTCACATAACTAAGTGCTTTATCATCCAGAGGCTTTAAAAACAAATTTTTATATCATGGATATTTAAACATATTCAAAATAGAGTAATACAATGAAGTATTCTAACAAACTTTTATGTATCTGTCATTCAATTTCAATACTTAGAGTAATTTTGTAGTTGTAGAAAAAAAATCTTATTTGGAGGCTTATTGTTTGAGGCAGGATTTTTATGTTTATATGTAAACCAGACCCAGAAAGGATCAGTTGCGTGACAGCAAAAATATTGTCTTTTAATACTCTTAGATTAAGAATACTTCCTTAAGAAGAAAAGAAAAACCTCTTAGACACAGACTACAGTATGGTGATTACCAGAGGAAAAGGGGGGTGGAGGGAGGTAAAAGAGGGTAAAGAGGGAGATAAATGATGACAGGAGACTCGACTTTGGGTGAGGAACACAATACAATATACAGATGATGTATTACAGAATTGTGCACTTGAAACCTATATAATTTTATTAACCAATGTCACCTTGATAAATTCAATAAAAAATTTTTTAAAAGAATGCCTTCTTACCAGAGTAATTGTTTCTTTTAAAGATAATACATTTTGGCCCAGCTGGTGTGGCTCAGTGGATTGAGTGCCCTCCCATGGACTGAGGGGTCCCAGTTCAATTCCTGGTCAGGGCACATGCCCAGATTGTAGGCTCTATCCCCAGTAGAGGTTGTGCAGGAGGCAGCCCATTGATGTCTCTCTCTCACATCGATGTTTCTATCTCTTTCTCTCCCTTTCTTTCTATCTAAAAATATCAATGAAAAAATATTTTTTAAAAAAGACAATATATTTTGGTATTCTTGAATTGCTTCCTTATTGTATTTGGTAAGGAGCTACTTGGCCAACAACTGGTATTTTCCATTGGTGTAAAACTGAGCAAATGCCTTCGTAATTTAATATTTGTGGTTTCCACAGGCTACTGGATACTGTGTTTTCCTACAGCACATAGTTTGCAGTGTGGACCCATTTGCCAAATTCTTCTCAAATTGGCTGTAACCTGAATTCTTTTCCTCTCACCTTATTCTACCCTCTCATTCTTCACTTGCATCATTTAAAGAGCAAGAAAGCCAAAGAAGCTTTTTCTAATTTAAAAATAAACAAGTTTTGTTCCTATACACTGGTGAAATTTTTCTGCCATTAGTTCTACTTTTCCTCTTTTCTCCCCAGTTTTCTAAAGCAACTTAACCCCTGCTGACAGCTCTTAATTTCTCCGTTAAAAGCAAAACAAAACAAAAAAACTAATTGGCAATATAATAATAGCTGTTTACCTAATCTTTTCTATGTGCTAGGCATGGTACAAAGCTCTTTTCATGTGTTACCTCATTTACCCTTCACAATAATTCTTTGAGGCTCATGTTATTATCCCCAGATTTAAGATAAAGTAAATGAGAGTTATAGAGGTTAAGTGATAATCAAGTTAGTAAATGACAGAACTGAATTCAAACCTTGCTCAAAAATCTTAAGGTCTTCACTACTATAGTCTAAATGAACTTTATTTCTTCATAGTTCTAAAATACCTGGTTTTGTGATCTTCCTTTTTAAAAATGAAAATTTAACAGGCCTCTGATTATGCCTCCAGTCACGAAGTCTCTCCCCAAAAGTTGTTTTCTATTTCCACAGAGCTGGTCTCTGCTCTCAAAGGGACATAATTTTAAGAACCAAACCAAAACAAACAACTGCCATTTCCTGCAATCGTAGTTAGTGTATAGTAGCATTGTGTGGGTGCTAAGTCAAACTGTCAAAGTGGGAGGTGGATGGCTAATATAGAAGAGAGAATTTCAGTGATAAGTTAGATGACCTTGTTGGAGGATTTGGGAGCATTAGTTTTATAAAATACCATCTGGATTTTAGTTATGAAAATTATTTTTTGTACTAAATTGCTTAATTATCTAACTGAACATAACAGAGAGTTTTGTGGCCACTTATTTCTTCATGGGCTACATGTGCATCTTGTTCCCCTTGTTATCCCATTGGCCTTTTAGAATGATTGTATAGTGTTTGATAAAGGAATAGAAATTAAACATGACATGCATGTAGGCATGCATTTTCTATTTCTCTCTTCATGATACACAAAACTTGTAAGCTATTATTAAAAACCAGCCTGGTTGTTTTTCCTCCCTCAAAGTCAAGAGAAGACCAATAATAGTTGATGACATGTCAGTGACTATTTCACACTAATATTTTGATGATTATATAGGATCCATGGAAAGTTATTTGCTATACAGAGCAGCTTAACTTTTTTCTTGGATTGCTATTCATTCATTCATTCAACAGATATAATCAGAGTATAAGCTAGTGTGCTAGTTTTATAAATAATATCATTGGCATCCGTTAAAATAAGTACTATTGTTTTCAGTCCCAAAACTTCATCAGTCATAATTACTTCTTTCTGCTAATAGTTTTAATGGGTCCTCTTTTATAAACAGAAAATATAAGTCTCAGCATTACTTATCTCTTTTCAAATACATTTATTTTACTTGGGAATTTATCAGTTGAGCTCTGCATTATCCTTTGACATTCAATTATAATATCCAATTTCTTGATGATTGGAAATAGATGACATTGATAGCCATGAGTCAGAGTAGGAGATAAATATTGCAAAACTATTTTCATGCCCCATTCACTTGTCTGCCAAGGCTTTTGGATGGCCTCTTAAAAAGAGCCTGATGCCAGAAAGAAAAGGTTCATTTGTCTTCCTAAAGATACAATTTGTTTGACTATGATTAAAAACTAAAGTAAAGTAGGAAGACAACTGACTCTGGTAAAGTCTTCACTCTTCTTAACTACTTACTCTTGCTACTTGATTCAGAGTTTTACATGGCTTATTTGAAAGTGGCAGGATCTTTTTAGCAGAAAGCGCGCTCTCTCTCCCCTTTCTCCTTTCCTGCCTCCGTTGCTCTCTCCCTCCCTTCACCTCTCCCTTTTCTTCCCTCCCCTCAATGCACAAGTACATGTTTTCTTTAAGGGGAAGAATGCTAAATTATTTTAGATAACAAATAGAAAATGGAAATCTAGTGTTTTCTGATATTAAGTACTAGGATATTTAAAAGTTAGAATAGTATGCATCCTAAATGTGACATGCCGTCCTGGAACAGGAAAAGGACATTAATGGAAAAACGAGTGAAATCCAAATAAAATCGACAGTTTATAGTTTTGTATCAGTATTAATTCTTCAGTTTTAATAGCTGTACTATGATTATATGAGATAGTAACATTAGAGGAAGCTGGGTAAAGGATATATAGGAACTTTGTATTATCTTAACAGCTGCTCTAGAAATCTAAAGTTATTTCAAAATAAAAAGTTAAAGTAGTGTGCATCTATTCAAGTAGCAAAGTTATGAGAGAAAAGAAATGAATATTACCAAAGTCAAGATAATAATTACCTCTACAGAGGAGAGATGGGATAGTGATTGGAGAGGAGCACATAACTTCTGAGGTATTGACAGTTTCTGGGAGGTGATCACTTGATACTTATTTGTTAAACTGTACATGAGTTTTATACAATTTTATGAATGGATGTTATATTTCACAATTAAAGGAGATTAGAAAATGAAATATATCATTTTGATTTAATAAGATTGCAAATTAATAGAGGGAAACATTTGTTCCTAATGCATTGTATTCTGAATTTAGAGTTTGTAAGGAATATTTTCTTTGATGTGGCAGTGAAGTTTCAGCTATGAAATGTTGCCTCTCTCAGTCATGGTTTTGTATAATTTCTTTAGGTAGAAACATTGAAACACAATGATCCTTTTGCTCCCGGCGGAACAGTTGTTGCAGTTAGTGATTCAGGTAAGAAAATAACATCAATTTCTTGAACAGTAAGCGTCACCCTTTTCTTTACGCTTCTTTTCTTTGGTCTCCAAATGTATTTGTCCTATTTACTTATGTATGACTTTAAAATTATTGTGTAGTTGCATCCAATTATAATCTACCAATAATAATGATGATGACAAGTGTTTACATATCACTTTCTACTTTTCTTATTATTCTCTATCTCATTTATTGTTCATGTTGAAAATCTTACCACAATATGTACTCTAGTCAATATCAGTAAGACCAATAACATTTTTTTCCATTCTAAAAGCAGTGTTGTTTGGCAGTTTCAAAGGCAGCATTATGGATTTTGGCCTAAATTTTAAAATTAGTAGCTTCCAATAGGTAATGATAATAGCTTTCCAAAAGTGAATAGGTCCTGTAACAAGACAGAGAAAAGCTGTATATTATTCTAGCATCCAGTTCTCATGTTTTATGGTATCTAATTTTTTATTTGTCCTTTTAAGTAATATTCCCATTTTATTTATTTTTTAATTATTTTTATTAATTTAATTTTGTTACAGATGTTTCTCCTTTTCCCCCCATTGACACCCTCCTCCCAACCCCCCACCCCACCCTGCCCCCAGCTTTGTTGTTTATGTCCATTGGGTACTCATACATGCATATAAGTTCTGTAGTTTATCTCTTCCCTACCCCCACTCTTCTGAGGTTTGTCAGTTTGTACCCTACTTCTATGTCTCTGGTTCTATTTTGTTCATCAGTTTGTTTTGTTCATTATAATATTCCCATTTTAAAGGTCAGCAATCTGAGGACCCAGAACTCTAAGTAACTTAATCAAGATTATAAAGTTTACTAGATTTGAGCCAGGTGAAGCCCAGATTCAAACCTAAGTCTGACAGAGTCTTAAAAGCTTTCTTAACTAACCCTGTTTCTTTTTCACTGTTGACTTAAAACAAACAGACCAGCTATTTTGTAAGAGAGCAGGGAATTAGAGGGAAGTGGACTGACACAAGTCAGTACTTCACTATCATGCAAAAATAGAATTCCTTATTTTTTATTTATTTTTATTTTTTTAAGACACAAGCAAAATTTAATGGAAATTGAGGCTTAATGAAACATAGTCCAAATGAAGACGGTATAAAATAAGCATTTAAATGAAAGTTAATCAACAAAATGAAGATTGTTTTCCTAAGAATGAAAGAAGTAAAGCTAAGTTGAATTTTCTACATTTAGTAAGTTTAGAACCATATGGCTATTTAAGCTCATCTAAAGGAATTTCACTGAAGATACACAATACACTCAGATATTTTCCTTAAGAGAATGCCTTATTTTTTAGATGGAAATAGTGTGAGTTATTCAGTATACATGTTTGTTGATTGTGACAAATTAAGGATTATGAGCACAGAAGAAGCTAATAGAAATAGCTTCACAATTTGGATTTCTTGTACAAATTGTAACAAGATGAAATTTAGCACTGTGCGTTATTTATTTACAGGTTGAAAGTTGACTTCCAACATGAGTAGCAAGAAGGAGCAATGTAAAAAGCAGATATGTAGAAAACAAGATTTAGTGTAGTAACCAGGTATTGATTTAAACTAAAATTTAGAATGAGAGAAATATGATTTTTAAAAGGCTTATTGTAGTAACAGTTGTTAAGTTATATCTTTATAAAGTACCTTTTTTTTTAGACTTTCCTTTTTGAACTGATGGATTAATATATTGCTATGGACATTATGTAATTAGAAAGATAACCTAAGAAAATAAAATGAAAAGTGAATACATTTATAATTAACTCTTGGTTACCCACACTAAAGAATGGTAAGTGCCATGAGGTTCATTAAAATTACAAAAATTTAAAGGGAAGGGAGAGCACCTCCACTTAGGGTAAATCATGAATGATTTTAAAGCAGAAGGTGGCAAACAACAAGTGTTGGTGAGGGTGTGGAGAAAAGGGGACTCTAGTACACTGCTGGTGGGAATGCAGACTGGTGCAGTCACATGGAAAACACTATGGTGTTACCTCAAAAAATTAAAAATTGAGCTGCCATTTGATCCAGTGATCCCACTTCTAGGAATATACCCTAAGAAGCCTGAAACACCAATCAGAAAGAATATATGTACACCCCATGTTCATAGCAGCACTATTTACAATAGCTAAGATCTAGAAACAACCCAAATGTCCATCAGTAGACGAATGGATAACAAAGCTGTGGTACATATACACAACGGAGTACTATGCAGCCGTAAGAAAGAAAGATCTCTTATCCTTTGAGACAACATGGAGGGTCCTGGAAAGTATTATCCTAAGCGAAACAAGCCAAGCAGAGAAAGACGAATATCACATGATCTCACTTATTTGTGGAATATTATGAACATAACAGTCTGAGGAATTGGGTAGACCAGAGACGTGGAAAGTAGGGTACAGACTGATAACCCTCAGAAGAGGGGGTGGTAAGAGGAGGGAAGAGATAAACTGATGGACACGGACAACAAAGCCGGGTATGGGGTGGGGGGATGGGAGGAGGGTGTCAATGGGGAAAAAAAGAGAAACATCTGTAACAAAAATAAATAAATAATTATTTAAAAAAATAATTGACAACAACAACAAAAACATAAAACAGAAGATGGCTTTTGTGGTATGCTTTGAAAGAATGGGCTAGGATTTTTTATTTATTTATTTATTTATTTATTTTTTAATCCTCACCTGAGGGCATTTTTCCATTTTTTCAGGTGGAGTGGGGTGGGGGGGAGAGAGAGAAACATCGACGTGAAAGGGACACATCGAGTGGCTGCCACCCGCACGACCAACCAGGGCCGGGGACAAACTGCAACCAAGGTACGCGCCCTTAGCGGGAACCGAACCTGGGTCTCTCTGGACCGCAGGCTGACGCTCTAACTGCTGAGCCAAACCGGCCAGGGCTGGGCTAGGATTTTTAATAAATAGTTATGGAAAGAGACAATATAAAGCAAAGAGAATAACATAAGCAAGGAATAGAGGCAGAAAATATAGGGCATGTTCAAGGAAAAACACATTTTGATAAAACTTAACCTGTAGAGGAATAGTCAGGTTAAGGTTGAAGTGGCAGATTGCAGTCTTACTGCAGAAGGTTTCTATTGCCTTTGTTAGTCTTCTCTTTCGATTCCAGTTTCTAGCTCATTTCATGTAAAGTGGTAGAATAAATTGCTATAATAGCCTGGGAGGGGCTAAGATTTATTGTTAATCACAATAATGATACTATTTATTGAGCATTTGCATAATTCCCGCACTCCATATGCTAACCATTTTTCCATACTTGATCTCATTGGAGTCTCACTTGTGAAGCCCTTTCACAAGGTTAAAAGATGGCCCAGTGGGGTCCACTTGAGATCTCTGGCTTTCCACTGACTTCTTTGGTTATTCCTTGTGTCTCCTTTGCTGATTTTTCCTCTTTTACCTAATTTTTTTATGTTGTGTTGCTCTAGGACCTAGACTTGGGACATTTTTTCTTCTCTTTCTGTACTTCTTTGGGGATCTCATCTGGTTTCATGGATTCACATATTATCTATGTGCTGATTTACAGCTCCAGCTACATCTTTTTTCCTGAACTCTAGACTCATATACCCAACTACCTCTTGACATCTCCACTTAAATATCTGCAGCTATATCTAACACAACATGTATAATAACACCGAATACCTACTCTTTCTTCTCAAATCTGCTTCTCTTACCGCTTTCCCCATCTTAATTTATAGTAATTTCATCTTTAACATTGCTAAGACCTGAAACCTCAGACTCATCCTTGGTTTTTCTTTTTCTTTTACTCTATCCCTAGTCTGTCAGGAAATCTTAACTGGCTCTGTCTTCAAATTACATCCAGTGAAAGCCTTACGATGGCCTATACCTTTCTAGTATCTCTTATCATTATTCCCTTTACAATCGTCCCTCGCCACTTTGCGCTTCGACTTTCATGGCTTTACCACGGTTTTTTCAAATATATTCATTAAAAAGTTGATTGAGACAGTGAAAATGATACAGTGTGCACTCAGTTGTCTGAGTCAATTATACACCTCTGTATTACAATTAAAATTAAAATTACTATACATATAGACTGTAGGCCTATGTATTTGAGCACCCCAGGAATCCTTCAACACCAGATGCAACTGCTGGAATCTGGAACGGATTAACCGCCATAAACGAGGGACAACTGTACTCACTCTGCTCCAGCCACATGGCCTTTGTGCTGTTGTTCAAACAACAGGCTGGTGTTCCTTATGCTCTTTGCCCTTAACTGTTCCCTATTCCTGGGATGGTCTTTCTCTATCTATCCACATGATGATCTCCATTACCTCTAACAAATCTTCGCCAAAATGTCACTCAGTGACATCACCCTATTTAACATTTACAAGCATCACCACCCATTCTAGCACTCCAACATTACTATGCTCTACTCTTTCTTCTTTTGTTATGGCTGATTACCTTCCAGCATACTATATGAATGACTTTGTTTTCTTCTTATCTGTCTTCTCCTTTTTCCACTAGATTTTAAGTTCCACAGGAACTTGGATCTTTGTATTCACTGATATATTCCAAGAACCTTAAACCATGCCTGGGCATATAATATTACTGAATGAATGGATGAATCAGTTACTCTCCTCACAGAGCGTATGATAGGAGCCCAGTGGATGAAAATCTTGGGGATGGGATATATTGTTTATTTTGTTCTGATAAGGGTTTTTAAAAATATATATTGTGGTAAAATATACATAACATAAAATTTACCATTTTAAACATTTCTAAGTATAGAGTTCAGTGGTATTAAGTATATTCACATTGTTATGCAACCATCACATTCATCTACCTCCAGAACTTTTTTCATCTTCCAAAACTGAAACTCTGTACTCGTTGAACCAGGAGTTCCCCGATAACCCCACCTCCAGGCCCTGGCAACCACCATTTACTTTCTGTATTTATGAATTTGACTACTCTAGGTGCCTCATATAAGTAGATTTATGTAGCATTTATCTTTTTTTGTCTG